AAAAAAACGAATGACTGACAAACCCTTGTGGGAGAAAGCCAGTCGTGTTACTACTTACTTAATGACTTTGGTCTAGAAAATCCTTCAAAAATTAACTCTAAGAGAACTTTTATCAGTAAATCAATCAGAGAGCGCAAAATGGCACACGTGCTTACACAACGAACGCAACTGACTTTCTCCGCCGATGGGCGATGAAGCTGAAGTCGCTGGAGTGGCGAACGAATGATCAATGGAATGTTGCGGCTGAACGAATTCCGCGAATTTAGCAAGGAGTAAAGTAACGGTTTGGATTATCCTGTGTTGACAAATTAAGCAATGAAACTACACATATCTCCTCTCTACGTTCTACAAAAAATTATTCCAATTAATAAATGAAAAATGCCTAAAACGGGATTCTCTTTATTTCATCACTCCGCACCATCTGTGGGCTAAATAATTTTTGAGATATAAGCGTTGAGCCTCAGAGAGGAGATATGCGTAGTTGCAGTGCCTAATTTTCAACATGGGATAATCAAAACTGTTACTTTACCCCTTACTTAATTTGCGGAATTCGTTCAGTCGCGGCATTCCGTTGACCATTCGTTCGCCGCTTCAGCGTTTTCGGCATCTGCAACTTATTAGTATTACCCGAGACTTCGCTTACAAAACTTATACTCTTCACTATACATTGAAATCTTTTCCGAAGAGAGTGGCTCAACATCCAGCGTAAATGGCACCAGTCTCCAGCATTAAGTGAATATGCTCCATCACTTTATTTCTTCATATAAATTTTTTTGTAGTATTCTTTACTTTCGTCACTTATTTCGCTGGTCCCTATTCTTCTTGAGTCAATATTTTCAGCAAACAATTTGAGAGTCTAATGACTCGTTTCAACTTTCAAGTATCGAAAGGAATACTACCGCATCTGCCATCAGAGTCACAGATCACGATTTCTCTCAAAACCGTCAATGAAGGAGAGCACGGTTGCTTGCGAGCATCAAGCAGCACTGAAAGCTTCTCCGTAGATAAAAATTGAGAAACGCGTTCTTGTTATCCCAAGTTTAGCGATGATATCACAACAAGGTTGCAGAAATTTGTATATATAGTGACCAATCAAATACCATTTCTACTCGAGACACAGATGTTTAACGAAAGAGTCTTTGTGAAAAGCCTTTAATTATCATTGTTGTCGTTTGGCCACCGAGTTCATCGTATCTTACGTAGAACCTCAGTTGTGGGGTCAAATTGCTTTGAAGGGAAGATTCATCGCCATCACCTCTTCAGATACGTAGCTGAGCAAGTGGCCACAGTACCGTGAAAACATTTGATTTCTACGTGCATTTGTCTCTGTTCATCGCTGCATTTTCGTGTTTTAACCGAAATGCCAAGCCTACATATTTTCGAAGTCAGCGGTCTTATAAAACCTATCTTTGATGCTGATAATGTCACATTGTTGTGAAAGATGATCGCTATGAAGCTCCAAAAAAAATCCGTATCTACAGATATCGTTTACACATTTAATTTATATTAGAGTGATGCAAGTTGAAATTACAGCATTTTGTGAATAAAATAACAACAAATCCCTTTAGCCTTCAACGTACGCTGACCTAAGCTATTTATTGTACCGAATTGATAATCATTCGCGAAAAAATTTGAAAATACGCGGCCAAAATGTGGAACAAATCTTACGCGAGAGTGAAATACAAATATATGATACATATATATGTTTATTACAAAAGGATAAACCGAACAATTTAGCACTTCTGTAATGCAGCAACTATGGCATCAATATTTTACAATAGTTTTTGACACCACAATTTAAAATTTTTCTCTAAACCAATTGTAGAACTAAGCAAGTGAGCGAAAGTAATGTATGGGTAACTATAATAAGTAAGAATAATATGATTAGGCAGTGTAATGTACGATTAACAGGGCACGCATGATTTATAATCGAGTTCAACTGCATCCCAGTCTCCTCAAACGAGCTCTAAGTGACATGTGTAGCAACAGTACTCCGTACGGTGAATAATTGGATCTGATCAAGAGCACCATTCACTTACTTTTAGACAGAAATTGGAAGTTGCTACATTCATTGATAGTTACAAATCATGTCCATAAAACTCGCAATACTTACAAATGCAATAGAACAGTCACGATGTTGACCTCAAAAGATAAATCCTTAGCTGCGAGTCATAGTTTTTAACTAAACCGGGCCAACTAGCACAAATCAAGACGCTTCAAATCGTTGATTGCGTTAATCGACGTCAAGCACCTGGAGTGTCACGCTTCTGTTCTTTGTGAAAGAAATCATTTATGGCAGATAAATTCTTACGGACAACTTTTCTTCTTGTACAATACATAGCAGGGGAAACGACATTCGAAATGACGCTTGATAAACGCCAGGGCAATAACCTACCAAGACGACGACTGCACACATAAAAGAAAACGGCAAGTCTCTGAACACAGACAACGAATTTTTCTTGCTTCTATGTTCAAGTTGTAACATATCCTTCGAAATTAATGCACCAAAGACTCATTGAAATTGCTAGTGTCACCGTAACACTCAATGATATTTGAAATGTTAATTTTCCTTTTAATTATATGTATTCGTTCCGAATGTTCAGGGCCAGACCGCCTCTTCAACACTGACACAGAGAAAATTAAGCCTCACGAAAAATATGGACAAAACGTTGGCTGAGAACGATTCTAGATTGTCAGCCTAGGAACAAGCGGACAGAAAGAGGGGCAACAACTTAAAGTTATATTAGCGTTAAAACTTCAAAGGCAGGCCAAGTTATACCAGCGAGACAAATTTCCATTTTTAAGCGTTGAAATACGCCCAGAAAAATGTTAGTCAATACAGTCATTTCACAATCTACCAACACAAAACTTCTGCGGGACCATTGCAAAAAATCAACCGAGGACATCAAGTCAAGACAGAATCAAAGCGATTGTAAAAAGTTTCACTTTTCTGTCACTTAGTCATCAATAGGAAAATGATATAATGCCGTATTCTCACACATTCGATAACTAGGATCGCTCTAGTTAACAAAAGCATAAATTACAATAAGTTACAGCCTCGTGCAAATGCAGGCAACTGCAAGTTAAGAGTCAACTTCTGGAGCAGCAACCAGAGACGCAGGCAAAGCAGCCACATGACCGCTTGTACTGAGCGCCATGCCTTCAATGAAATCCCAAACAACAATCCATTATGATCCTTCATAACATAGGTAATTCAATAACTAAATGTTCTCCCTTCAAACATCAAATTAAATAGGTATTTTTCAAACAATTTTTGTCGACTAAGGGTCTGGAACTAGGAGAAAAGCGCAGTAAAATAACATATTTGCAGGAGAGGAAGCATACTAGAGAACAACACTGCAATGGTTGCTAATGGAAGCCAGCGAAGCCTCGATTGCTCCTCAGATGATCAAATACAAGGAATCGAGACAAGCCTTGCGACCAAAAATAAGGCAATGAGCACCAAGAGCATTAGAAGTGAGTCTTGAGATCAGAATCGAAGAGTAAGAAACCCAAGAGATCACGTAAAGAGGGAGCGTAGTATACAGTTAGGGTATTGGACGAAAATAATGAAAGCACCTAATACCCACACAATCATACAAATAACCGATGACGCGATCCACCGACCTCTCAATAGATTTCTCAACACAACTCGCGCTTCGTGTCAAAAGAGTATCACTAAAATAAGATATTTCGAGTCGAACGTGCTAGTACAAGCATTCGTAGCAAAAAGGTGGAAGGCATATGTCTATATAGTAGCATTATCTTCCAGACTGTAGGTCATTTTTGCTCTTGATCGTCTTCTCGAGGTGTTGGAAGACGAGTCTCTAGCATACCTGTGTCGGTGAGAAATTACTGTGAGGTCATTCCAGTTTATCACAAGCTGAGATAAAGAATAACAAGATCTTTAAAAAATATAACTCAGTACTCACTGCAGTGAGTGACAGTCGACGAAAACGCATTCATCTCATTTTCTCGTCGACGAAAACGTGAAGTCACGGACGGACAGACAGACGGACGGACATGGCAAGCACAATAGCGCCTTTTTTCCATAAATGAGAAAATGTTCTAAAAACAGCGAGAAAAGCATATTTGAGCTTGAACCTTGTTACGTAATTGAGAGATAGATCACGTTTTTCATCTATAGGAATAGAAATGATGACCCACTAAAAAAATTAATAGCCAATTGAATTAGATGAAAAATTAAATTTAATGAAAAATACAGTAGCAAATTATTCCGAAACTATTTTAAAATGACCAAAACATCATTCTATTGTAAAAGTACCTGAAAAACTATTTGCTAACTTATTCTGAAGTATTGCTGAAATAACACCATTCTTAAAACGGATAAAATTGTTATCAAAGCGCTCGACAGACGTGCAACAGAAACCCATGTATATATATATCATGAAAACTATGTTATAACGAATGTTTATTCAGCTCCTATTTATTTCATTTATATTCGTTTGATTTTCGATTTTGGTTCTAATGTCCTGAAGTTTAGCTGAATTGTTTGAATGTGAATTTTAGGTTACTAATTATTTGTACCTGTGTTCTAGGTTTTGAACTGACGATGCAGTTGCACTCCGAAACGTTTTCTCTTATAAGAAATGGTGAACTTTTTGGATGTTTTTTTGCCATTAAATTCCGGGTAAATTAGCGATTTAAGCAATCAAGTGATCTTAATACTTATATCACGAATGTAAGGACTGGGATCAACCTAGAACATTACATGGTGGTGCTCTAGAGTAATCAAATGAACTTTATTGACAAAACGGTCTTCAAGTTTACAGCAATAAATTTCAAACTAAACAATTCTTTTTACCTTCTTTGATTGAAGACCTAGAAAATGACACACTTGGGCTTCTTCTTCTTCTTAACAGCAAGGGCGGCTTTTGTGGCGGTCTCGAAGACATCCCTCACTCCTTCTTTGGTCTTAGCTGAACACTCGAGGTAAGCAAAGGCATTGATTTTTTCGGCCATTGCTCGACCTTCCTCAGGCTTCACAGGCTCCTGCTTCATCTTCTGCAACTCTTTGATGGTGTTTGAGTCGCTGCGTAGATCCTACAAGTGTGGCAAGGGAAACGGTCAATGAGTTCCTTTTGTATGAGAAACGATTAAATACTCTAGTATGAAAAGCTTTATCAAGGCATTTTAAAAATATATTACTATATTAATATTATAATCAAATGAAGCATTGCTCAAAAAGAGTAAGGTATTAATAGGAAATAAATATACCAAACTCGGACGTGGTACTAATTTGGGGTTAGACACTACCTTATTAATTGTCATTCTTATCTACTGAGAAATTTAAACCATCATTGCTCTTAAAAGATTTGCCATAGCAAAAACAATAGTGCATTTTTTCATAAATGAGAAAATGTGCTAAAAATAATCACATTCTTCATATACTACTCAAATAAAGAAGATTATTAAATACAAATGGCCCGAATAAGCAACTTGAACACATCCTAAGGAAATAATGTTTATAGAACCATGCAAGAGTAATGATATACAGCAACAAAAGCCCTAATACTACAAACGAACCTTTTTGTTTCCTACGAGGATAATAGGAACATTGGGGCAGAAGTGCTTCACTTCTGGAGTCCATTTTTCAGGTATATTCTCAAGAGAGTCAGGGGAATCTATTGAAAAGCACATTAAAATGACGTCGGTGTCGGGGTAGGAGAGAGGACGCAGTCTGTCATAATCTTCCTGGCCAGCTGTGTCCCACAAGGCTAACTCCACCTGATAGAAACAAATGATTGAATGGATATTCAGCTATTATATCTGGTAATAGCTTACCGTAATCAGTGTAGAGGATATATACTAATGCATGGATATCAATGCATAGGAAACAAAAATGGAACTGGCACAAGATAAGATCAGGATTAATTGCAATGGCTTCAAATTGGCAAGACTAAGGAGTAATATATCTATAATTTTTCTGATGAGGCCTAAATTTTTTCAAATAGATTACAAAATGTAGGTATAGATTTTCAACCCAATCTACAGATTAGAACTTTCAGTCTCAAGCGTTATGTAAAGCATCTCGATGAACATATTTATGGGTACCTTACAGGTTATCAGAGGAACCCAGGCCTCAGTTAAATCATCTAGTGACCAGAACAAAAGATTCATCATAGCTTGTGCAAACCAAGAACAAAAAAAGGTTCTGAACCAGTAATAGGTATTGGGTCTCCTGGTAATTAGTTGAGCAAATGCCTCTTTCTGGATGTGCAGGTACATGGCAGATGGTTGGGGGCAGATGTTTGGGTGCAGATAGCCAAGTTGCAAGGAGTTCAAAACCCTCACCTGTTTGCCATCAACTTCGATGTCAGCAACATAGTTCTCGAACACAGTGGGGACATATACTTCAGGGAACTGATCTTTGGAGAAGACAATGAGCAAGCATGTCTTGCCACATGCACCATCTCCCACAATGACAAGCTTTTTGCGAATGGCAGCCATCAAATCTGCAAAAAAAATTCAAACTGTTACCATTGCCAATTTGGACAAATACTTTATGCACAGTAAAACAATGCAATGTTAGATATGGGAAAATTAGACAAGTCCCTAATCAGCCTGCCCATTGGACAACAATTTTAAAGTAGGTGTTAGTCAGTTTCTTGAATGTTTGACATGACTGCTTGATTTCATACCTAGCACACCAAACCTGACATCAAAGTTTATGACTCCTGTTTCCATCCAGTTAAGACTAATGTCTATCATGGAAGCACTAATAACAAATGGGTTTGCAGCAAGGTTATAGCTGGCAGAAATGTTAAAATATATTCCGATACAAAATCACAAAAATAACATGAATACACAAAATTTTTATATAAATACATGAACCTTGATAATCTCAAATACTGCCTACAACTTCCATTGAAAAAAAAGTGAGGAGTACAATGAATGATGATGAAATAATAAGTGTGCTGTCAATAGCAGTATTATTAGTATGTTGTAAAAGGAATCTAAAAGCTACCGTTAACTGGGCTGACTTTGGCCACACCTACAACAGAAACAAATGGCAGCGAAACAAATTACAAATAGCCAAAGTCACCCCTGTCACTTTGGCCAACATTTATTATTTTGTTTTGCTGCCATTTGTTTCTGTTGTAAGAGTGGCCAAAGTCATCCCAGTTGACAATAGTAAATTTCCAATTATGAGGGAAATTAGCTGAACTTTTGTTTGAAAACAGAGAAATCTTATTTTTAACCATGCCTTCTTATTGATTGAAAAGTATCTTTTGTTTATTTGCTTTGTTGCAATTCACACATTTTCATAAAGTGCATGAAAAAAAGTTAATTATTTCATCCACAGTCAGTATCAAAACTTATATTAATTTGACAATATTTTCCTGTGTATTTTCTACTAATTTCAGAACTCTACAAAGAGGCAACAAGTATCTACAAAAATGCAAAAAATTACATGCAAAGCTGTGTTTTGCATCAACTAACAAGTTGAACCAATTTGTAGATTAGAATCTAATTAAGCAAATTTTGTTTAATCACCAATCAAAATGATTTTTAAACTGTCACAGGAATACAGTTTTGCCCATTGTTTGATTGCAATTTGTGCACTTGCTTGTCTTCACACATGTAAACCCATTGTTTTAATGGGAATACAAGACAGCTATGAGCCACTGCAATCACTCTTAAGATGTATATATGTTTTTTGGGAAATTTTTCCATGCAAAATGAGCTTTCTCAAGCCATTGGACTGTGCAGTTCTTTCAGGACTGTCAACCTGATCTATTAGCACAGAAAGTTACAGAGTAGGCAGTATTTGCCAGCATTGAACATAAGTATATTCCCTAATAACCATGTATACAACAGAGTCATCACAAAACCACAGCCATCATTGCAGTTGGCAGCTGCAGGCATTGAACATTTGTTAGGTCACCAATGCATGTAGTGGATAGCTGTGCAATGCACATATAATTTGTGAGCAATAGTGCATCCATGTATTAACTATTTTTGACACCTCGCACATTCTTTCTCTCAACACATTTGGTACACTGCAGGCATGGATAATAATTTTATATAAAATCCCATGCACCTGGCACACCTTTTCAATTGTGGTACTGGAATTGCCTAATCTTGGTTTACATTCTTGAGCAACATTAACAGGAAACTGTTGAGCACATGTCTACTTTTCAATCTAACTTTGAGATAACAATTATTGTTATTCTATTTATTCCATATACATTTTTTCACACATATACAGATTTAAATTAAATTTTGCATTGTTGTTGAAGTGGTATAAACTCTAAATTTTTTTTACAGAACCTACTTAGTACCTTACTATAAGATGAAATGGGGGCTTTTTCTGGCCTAGTATGTGCACAAGCTACACAGCCTAAGTAGAAAATTTTACTCATTCCAATGGCCTCTCCCTAATTTCTTTAGAAGAAAAGATGAACCACCTATTTTTGATACCATTCAAGAAAATTGGGCAGATGACCATTATGAATGATATAAAAAAACACCCATGCTATCAGTCAATTTCACCTGCTTTATGAGTTATGACCCTTGCTTTTATCCATAAAAAAAATAAGAAAAACCACTTAAATTTCTAAAAATCACCATTAATGATAGTTTTTGTGAATGTTTAATATTCAATTCTGAGTGACATCCCATTTGGATAAGTTATGTGGCATGTGCACTTGTTCATAGCCTCATAGGGTAAACGCGGTATATTCCGACATCGTGGGTAATTCCGTCACCTCTCTAGTTTTTCCTTTATATTAAGCTTTGTTTCAGTTCCATGCATTCATTGATGGTTGAAATGGTGACGTCATACATTTGCACATCAAACTACTGCCAAAACACTAGGTCTTGGCCATCTAGCAGGAAAATATTGAGATCCAAAGAGAGACAATGCACGCTACCCAGTGAGATCATCAAAAAATGTGTCAAATTTGACAGTTGACCTTGCTCTACCAAATAGTGAATAACTGTTTGTATAGGAAGAATATTATGGTTTGAGACTTTTAAATACATCTGTGAATATATAAGGAATCCTTTAAGTATACTTGTATTCGCTGATTTCAAGTGGTAAATAAATTAATAGATGATTAAGTTGAGAAATGGATTGAGACACGTGAAAACTAATTCCGTCACAACTTGAATTGGGACACACACAGATCGTTCCAAGCTGTGTACAAAAATTACAATTTGCTTAATTAAAAGCTTAATAGTTGTTAATTAAAAGCGTAATTAAGCAGTGTTTAAAATTCATTAGTGTTATAATTCAAAGCCGTGTTGTATTCCAATACAGCTCACACAGCGAACAGAATTCGAACACGTGGATGACGGCATTACGTATCAGTAGAATTTGAAGCGTGGACGGAATACGCCTCACCACATGCCAAATATAGCCACACACAGTGACGGAATATAGGGATTTGGTAGGTTTGGATTCTATAGGCTTTAAATTTTTAAATAAATATGGCAACATTTTGTGACATTTCATCGTTGCTGATGCACAGTGAGGTGTTTTGAGAGTCACATAAAGCAAACAGAACTTGAGTAACACATAGGGTTATTTTTTTATAGTTTTTCATTTCTCGGTGCATCCCAAATGTGACGGAATATACCGCATTTACCCTAGGTAGGCTACATCACCTGCCAACTTGCCTAGTGCCAGGCTGCCTCTGGCCTCAGGCTCAGGCTGACGGAATTCAATCATGCACTAACTTTCGGTTAGCCTTTTATACTACATAGCTATACGCCTAGGTATATGTAAAATGAACAACACAGCTTTGGCCTTAGAACACTCTACCTTTCTTTTAATAAAAAAAGTGCAATAATTTTCAGTAATGAATTTTCCGTTACAAGGAACAGTGAAAATTTAATGAAATTGTTTCTCTTGAATTAGTCATTAGGTACTCAATAGGTAGGTAGCCTATATGTAGCCTGTACTATAGGTACCTATAGTATATTTACTATATACCTAGCTAGCCAGCCTAGCCTAGCCTTTGAAGCAAATGGCAATTCATTTCCATGATTTAGTATGTTTAGGCCTACTGATGTTCAGTGGTTTTAATTTTCAAGGTAATTAGTGGTAACTGTTCATTTTTAGGTCTAAAAAATGAGAGTCGAAGGATGACAAAGTAAAATACGAATATTAATGGTGAAAAGAATACGTATCGTTGGCATTATGGGGCTGGGCACACCGCATACTACATCTAAATCAGAAGTGCTTAACATAATCACAGAAGGCACAATAAATTAACGGCAAAAATATAAATTTAACAGCCAAATTATTTTCTGAAGTTTGCAGAAATTGCAGGACTCCTTGCACATCGCGATATTGATGGTGCAGCACTGCAGCAATCATTTGATACGAATAACCGACAACCGATAGAGGCCGTTGCATCTAAACGACGACAGTTGAAAACTATATATAAAGTGACATATGTAAGAATAAATTATCCATTCACAGTCCATCAATAGTATAAAATATTCATTCGTTACAGTGTAGAACGCAGACTTCTCATTACCTTGTCAATCGGAGGTAATATAAAGAAATTCGAATCAAATATGGCTGCAACTCTGCCTGCCCCACCTTAAAGAAGCTCAGTAATAGCATAGGAATGCCTGACGTCACCATACAGGAAATTTTAAGTGTAGATTTTTATATAATTACAGATTAATTGATTCCTAGTTTACTATTTGAAATGTAATTTTGTTTGGAATATCTATTTTTTTAACTATAACAATCATGCATGTGACTGTGCAGTAATTCTTTGAATAATAAAATAAACCCGTTTATTAGTCGAACCTAACTAGAACGGCGAAAATTCTTTATATATACGTCGCGAAAATCATTTAAGCACTAATCAAAAGTAATAAGCGACTTTGAAATATTTTGACTTTCGGGACCTAAATTTGAAATATGATGTTATAAAATGACACTTAACGCTCACAGCCAAATTTACGAATAATAACATTCAATTTAAACAAAGTTAGTAGACTTCCAGTCTACAAACAAGAGAATTCTGCAACGCATTACTAATTGAAAATAATTGTTAAAAGGTCACCAACGATCATGATTCACAGTTCAGGATATAATGTCATTCATGTTATATCGAATTGCGTTAGACGCGTCCAAGGTCTGAAAGCATTAATTTAAATACTAACCTGCATGTGGATTTAATTTGATCTTTCTTTATTAAGTAATAGCACTTTTCAACTAAAGTCGCCATCATTTTAATTAACCATTAAATGCAATAGAATCGCCAGAGTAGTTAGTATGTTCAGATTTTGTTGTGGGTTCTGGGTTACTCAATGGTACATTAGGTTTAGTTCGATTTATGATTGTTGTGACTTGTGAATACGTTTTAAATGGACTTTTTGTTACCTTCCGAGTGTAACTTGAACTTTAAATTTTTTGACGTTAGTAAAGGAGCTATGCAGCGTGAATGACAGATTTAAAGATCGTGACCGGAGGTCAGCACGCACCTAATTCCAATTCTAACTCATAAATACAGCAGTTTGGGATTAGAATCAATACACGGAACTACATAAACATTTATTCAATTATTTCTGTTTGCAGAAAATTTTACGGCTAAATAATACCGATGAAGCGTGGATACGGAATAGAAGTTCCCTTTTACCGTTCCATTCGATAACGGGTCGAGGATGTGAATTTCTGTTAGCTCTCTATGTCTATGAGATGCAATGCGATCAAAAAAAATGTGTTAAGTCAGTAGTTACAGTTCGATTTTAAGTCTAAGGAGCTTAGCTAAATAGCCAAAGTTCCTGATTTACCCTTACTGAACAATTATCAGCTCCTCATGACTGTTTTGAAGACTCCGGCCAAATTAGTTCCACTAATCTGCTGTCAAGTCTAATTGCTTTTCGATTCATCGAGTATATTGCAGGCGTATTTAAACAATTGATTCCAATGTATAATTCAATTCAGTTGTGAATTCAATCATATTCACTCATTAAATTTGATAACCATAATTAAATTAACCATAACCATAATCACACCTCCGTAGGATGAAACAAGGATTGCAAAAACTACATTGTTGTAAATGCGGAGCTCGCGTGCCTTGGCTTCAGATCACACATATAGTCTCTGTATGGCTTCTGGCGCGTGAGGGCCTTTGTGTTGTGTGCATGCTTGCTGTCCGTGGGGATTAACCGGACTGAAATATGAAATATCTTCCATGCACTGAAATTGAAAGAGTAACAACGTAGCGGTGCGATTTGGTATTTACATCGCCGAAACGTCTAATTTCATATGCGATGTAGCGCAATTTACACAACATCCTTTCTTCATCGGAAAATTGACATACAATTTACGTTGAAATGTCTAACTACAGAACAATTATTCTGAACACAAATCACGAACAAGCTTCTCAAATTTTGATTGAAATAAAACATATATAGTGATTAATCATGCAACAGTAAATGAATTTTCAAAAATAATTTTGGAGTACATAAAAATTACGTAGCTACAAATATTTAACCAACCACTTGACTGTTGCTCGAATATAATGACTGGTATTGTAGAGTAACTCACAATTTATCTAATCACTGCCCGTGACCATGAAAAAATGCGCAATCTGAGTGCACGAGCATTTTGAAAAATTAGTTCACGTAAGCGAAAATACAGTTAATTGGACAACAGCGATGTAGATAAACTCACCGCTGTCTTCTCCGCCACACAGCGGAGGAGGACACACAGGCAGGGGAATACGGATGTTGATCTCCCGTCTGGCCATAGTGTCTGTTGTCCGCTGAGGACAGACCCTCAGCACAAATAACGTTGAAATGACGTATAATAGACGTAAATTCCACGTTTATAGTTCAATTAATCTATTTGATTAACGTCAGGTCCCAGTGGGAAGAAACTTATAGACGTATACGGTATTTCAGAGGGACAGTTCTCCGTGTGGTCTGATCACAGCTCGTCGAGCCTCGCGTCGACACCAAATCATTGTGATGAACAATGACCACATACCGAAATGCTTCATATGCATTCACTGTGTATTGCTGCCACGCAGCACGAGAATGAACGCTGAAAACAATTCTTAATTTATTGGCTCAAGGATAAGTCAGATGTAAATAACTTTGAGCTAAACTGCCTTGTTACTCGTATAAATCGCAATATTGGTTAGAAATTTTAAATTTCACTGATATATGGTTCACTTTGAATGCACATAAATGGTTTTGTTTTTGACAATCTCCAAAAAAGTCAGTGAAGTTAATATGCACGTTTTCAAAATTGAAGCGCAGTAACTCCAAGACTGCCCCTTAGAGGGAAACGAAGCCTTATGAAGTTGAAACACTAACCCCACGACTGCCGCTAGACACGTACTGAGCCACCTCCAGCACGTCTGCCAGCGCCGGCAGCCAAACGTGAGAAGGCTCAGCCTCGACTGGAAATAAAACGATGAACTGCTCTCTGAAGCTCACCAACGCCGACACAAAACTGGAACTCGAGCAATTAATCGTAATGCTTAATGAATAGAAAGCTGTACTCGAAACTCCCTGTACTTGTATATTTAAAACGACAGACATACATTTCTACTCCGGCAATTTTTGTTTATTCAAGGAGCAATAATTTCGTCATTGTATTTTTGTGATGTTGCTTAATTACTTCACAGTTCTGTGGAGGCCAAAGTTCTGCGGAGGCCGAAAGTTCTGGGAGACCGAAACTTCTGGGGAGGACGAAAGTTCTTTGTAGACCGAAAATTCTGAAAAGGCCGATAGTTCTATGGAGGCCGTGTGTTTTGTGGAGGCCGAAAGTCCTGTTAGAGGCTGAAAGTTCTGTAGAGGCCGAAAGTTCTGTGGAGGCCGAAAGTTCTGTAGAGAACGAAAGTTATGTGGAGGCCGTAAGTTCTGTGGTGGCCGTAAGTTCTGTGGAGGCCGCAAGTTCTTTGGAGGCTGAAAGTTCTGTGGAGGTCGACAGTTCTATGGAGGCCGTAAGTTCTGAGGAGACCGTAAGTTCTTTGGAGGCCGTAAGTTCTGTGGAGGCCGAAAGTTCTGTGGAGGCCGAAAGTTCTGTGGTGGCCGTAAGTTCTGTGGAGGCCGAAAGTTCTGCGGTGGCCGTAAGTTCTGTGGAGGCCGCAAGTTCTGTGGAGGCCGAAAGTTCTGTGGAGGCCGTAAGTTCTATAAGTTCTGTGGGGGCCGTAAGTTCTGTGGGGGCCGTAAGTTCTGTGGTGGCAGTGAGTTTTGTAGAAGCCTGCCGTAAGTTATGTGGAGGTTGTAAGTTCTGTTGTTAATTTGCTTTGCCTAATTACACACGACTGAAACCATTTTACTAAATTATCTTAGTAGTAGCGTGAAATTATTCAAAAACTTTGGTATATATTTCTATTTAAGGATAATCCCAGTTGATGATAGGGAAGTTATTAATGATTTCCTCAAATTTTAATGACTTAGAGTCCGTCTTCATATATGTGGGGAAAGTTTAATGCCATAGCTGACCAATAATCTATGGCGTCATCGGATAGTTTAGAGCTTTAGACTATTTAAGGGGACCGACCTGGCTAAAATTTTCAATTTTGGCGTTTTCCACTTTTTGGGCTCATCTTAAAGCTTACTTTTTGACGCATCCAACTGTGCCAGAATCATCCCTCTACGTCGAAAAATGATTTCGTGACAGCTTCCCAAAGAAGGGCAGTTTTTAACCCTTTTTAGCCGTTTTCTATGAATTTCACGTTTTCTATCAATTTTTTCGAAAAATTCATACGAGCAAAATGTTTTTCTTTTTACATTTTAAGTATGTATGTGAAGTTTCATGATGATCGGATAATAACTGTAGAAGTTTCTCCGGGGGCAGCCCGGTCCCCTTAAGAAGTTCGTAATGAGCTCCCTAAATCAGGTAGTAGCCCCAGTAAAAAGAGGAGTATGTGTTAAAAGGAGTATGTGTGCAAAATTATAAGGGGTATGTGTGCAGGGCTCATTATACTAATGGACGTAGTTTCATCGTTTGGTAATTGCACTCACTCTGAAAGGGTTAAGAAATTTGGGATTCAAACATTGAGGAATATTGATGTAAAATTGTGAACGTTATCCCTTTAACGACCACATTTTTTAAAGCACGAAAAAAAAATTCTTATAATTACTATGCAATTACGGTCTCTAAGTAGTATATCGATGAGCATGGCAAATTGAAATTGTACGTATATTGAAAAAATTTTAAGACGACATTTCGGTCCACTAGGTTTTACGAGACCCCAACATTAAACGCGACCATACGATCCATTTAGTCTTTTGAGCGCAAAATATGGATGATATTATATAGCTAGCATATTTAATTATCATTTTATACACTAGTTTTGCTAACAACAATAAGAAATCTGAGAAACTTGCAAGAAACTCCAGTATTTTAGCCCTATTCAAGATTATATTTTTCAAATAAATTTCATGTTTTTCCAACATCCTTGATGTTGGGAAAATATCACGGATGTTGGGCCTAAGACGCCAGGGCCAAGGTTGTGAGGGGCCAATGTCCTGGCGGAGAGGCCAGGGTCTAGGTTGAGAGGTCAGGGTTAAAGGATGAGAGGCCCGAGTCCAGGTTTAGAGGTCAGGCTCCAGTCTGAAAGGCCGGGGTACATTTTGAGAAGCTAGGGTGGAGACTGAGAGACCAAAGTTCAGCTTGAGAGACTATGGTCGAGAATGCGAGGCCAGGGTCGAGATTGAGCGGCCAAGGTCCAGGTTGAGATGCCGCGGTCCAGGTTGGGAGGCCAGGGCCCAGACTGAGAGGCCAGCCAGGGTCGGGATTAAG